CTCGGCGGGAATTTTGAATTTCAAAATTAGATTTTCACAGAATTGCGATAAAGAAAAAAGAATGCGAGAGTTAAACCGACGGAGAGAATCTTACCTGCTTTTATAAACAAGCAGAAGGATCATAAGACCGAAAAAACCACCGAGAGTCACTGCGATTCTGACCCCGGTCATAACATCGTAAGTTTTGTAGAATTCAATTTTGAGTTGCTCCCGCTCGCTGAGGGTCGACGTCGCTTCCGGCAGGAACGTCGTCGTGTCCATCCTCCTCGTCGTTACGTTGCTTACGTTCACGTTGCTGCCTACAACACTCCCCATACCTGTACACAGGGACAAAATTCACATTCTCTTAACTTACAATTTTACACTGTACACCGTCGTGTTTGCCTTTCTTCGGGCGAATTCAAATTGTCATTCATCTCAACGAAAGACAGAAAATTCGTAAATGTACGCAAATTAGAGCAAGAGATTGATAAACACAGAAATTGCAAGAATTAATATCAGTGGGGGGACTTGTAAGAATTCGTAGTGGCAGGGCTGTAGCGATAAAAGTAAAAGAGATGGATTGAAGATAAACTAAATAATTATTTAGAAATTATAAAACAGGAAGTTTCGTTTTATACTGGAATACTTACGGACAAGCCGCCACTGATTAATATATTAAATTATAGAACCATGTAAATTATAGAACCATGTAAATTATCCGTAAATGCATAATTATAATTTTGAAATATGATCCTACATTCTTTCCGTTGAAAAAGTAACTGTAAATTAAACAACATCGTCGTCTAGTATAATCAGGCAAAACCAATGTTTTCGAACAGACTTTCTTTATTAAAGATTACTTTATAATCGAAGTATAGTTATAAAAAATACCCTGCGCAAAAATTTGACTTTAACACTTTCGGCGATCACGTTGCCTGTTTAACTGTTTGTTAAATAAAATGGTAGATACTAAAAGCTGAATTACATTTGTCAGCGGGTTTGAATGTTGTTGAAGAGAGAGAAAAAAAAAAAGGGTACCAGGCTACTTTGACACACTTCTCCGCGTACAAAAGGTTATGCGACATGCTCGTATGAAATGTATGGACATGCACGCTTGCAAATAAATCGCGATGGAGAAGGTGAATTGACTATAAGTCTCAGAGCACCCCACTTGGTCGGTAAACTGTGACATTTTTACCAAGCATCAAATTGTTACGTTCTCGTTGTTACCGACAATGGTAACGTCGTTTTTAGAATACTTCTAAAAATGTGTATATACCTACCCTCGAAACCGAGTTTTCATGCGAATGTTAGAAAAGCTGCAAATTGTATAGAAAGTTGTGTACAATGTGACACTCTGTTCGAGTTTCAATTGGTAATGCGAACGCGCATCCAACTTTGATTGTCGATTGATATATTTCGAAAATTTTTCACATTTTCCCCATCTTCGTTCCTCATAATAAATTAAAAACATCTCCTATATACAGGTCAATTGAAACTTATCGATTCTCCAAAAAGAAAAAAAAAAAAATTTGTCTTAATATATAAAATTTAACATACGTCGTTACAATTTTTTTCTTTTTTTTCATTAATTCGTCTAAATAAATATTCGCTTAGGCGGTAATTTTTCATATTCACCGAGACAAAGTGAAGCATCGAAGCAAATGACGGATCGTTGACTTGAATGACAATATTCGTGTGATAATGGCCGGAAATGAATTTCTATCTATTGAAGGCGTCGTCTTATTGTTGAATCGGAGCAAAGGTATTGGAACCACGTGGTATTGGTTCGAAAAAGTCATAGCGTGGCTATCGAATTCCAGCGATAATCAATAGCGCGGAACTTTCAAGGGGTGTCCTATAGAGTGCCACTCAATCGAGAGGCTGCTACCTCGGGAATGGAGAACACTTTGAAAACAAAGATAAAGTGAAAAAGGCCGGCGAAACAATAGAAAACAAGGAAGACACGCTATATCTCTGTTTGCAGCAAATTTTCATTCTACGAAATCTTCGATCGTGCAATTGATTTTGTTTTCTTTTTTTATCTACTTGAGAACAACGAAACGAAATATCGTCGCTTGATCGTTAAAATGGATTTGTTGCATTATTTTTATCTTTTCTTTGAACTTGTTAAAAAGGAAAATATGTACGTATACTAAAATATAATAAGAATGTTTTCTCATTGAGATTTATGTTTTCGTTGTAATTATTGAAAATGTATCGGTGAATTTTAATAAGAAAATTTTCGGGTGGAGAAATTTTCGTCGATGGTATAAAATGGTCCAGACCGATACTTTGATACAGCTCAGCCATGCTAGTATTGTACTCATAGGTTCTAGGTTCTGGATATTGATTCCAAGCTAGAGAATCGATGGAGCCTGTCTTACGACGTCTCGATAAGACCTGTCACTGATAACGCTTCACCCATTCTGCAGAGAAATCTATTTGACCTACCTTACTTTTCCACGTAAAACCGATTTCGGATGCTGCGCTATAGATGCGCATCGCTTATTGGAGCACAAATTACGATGCTACTGTATATGTATAAACGAATGAAAACAAAGACGAAACATCTGGTAGAGATTAATCCAGAAATAACTGAATAACGCAGAATCATTGGAGAAAATTTATTATTCGTTCTTGTCCATAATTCATGCTCCTTTAACTTTTACAACCGTTCCCTTCATTATTATACTATTACATCTGTTGAATTTTATCGTCTGTAATATAAATTGGAATATCCGCATCGGCGGACAAAACATTCCACACGTACAGTACGTCGTGAAATGATACAAAATTGAATAATCATCCGAAAGGGGTGAAGAGAACAAAGGGATACCTAATAATCAAAAGGGGCAAAAATTCGACGAAGATTGCAAGTTTGGAGAGCTGAAAAATTCGAACGATTGAAAGAGAGAAAAGAAATGAATAGACACGTTCTTTAGATGTTCAACGAAACGGAATTCCCGGTGAACTCAGTCGAAATTCCGAGATTTCGCTTAGGAAGCACTGAATAAGGGGGTTAATAGGTCGATTTAAGCGAACGAGGACGACAACCTGTGGCTGGTATGTGGTAACCCTCAAGGATCCTACCTTACACAATCCTCCGAGAGCTTTAAAGCTATTTGCTGATAGCATCGATAATAACGAACCTGCCTTAAAAAACGATCATTTGACAAACTATGCCGGAGAAAGAAGAAAAAGGAGCAAACCTTTATCGATCCTTAATCAATCATTGAAAATTATTCTTGCACGTATCGTCTCTCTAATTAATTAAATTCAACCAAGTTAATCGAAATCTGTCGAGGTCTGGTCGTTCGTTCGTTGAGAAATGATTAATTCACCTCGCGTTTTTTAAAGAACGAATTTTCACGTATAAATTAACGAACAAATTCGTTGGAAGAGACGTTGAAACATCTTTTAATCACTATCTTCCATCAGATACTTCTTTGTCCTTGTCAAAAATGAGTTCCGGCCAGGGTAAAGAGAAACGAGTCTATACAGCTATATAGTAGCAACGAGGAATTCGTTCAGTCGCTTTTCCCTTCTTTCCTTTAAAGGGAAACTCGAACTCGGTCTCTCCTTAAATGTACAAACACGGTATCCTCCTTTCTCAACATCGATGTCCATTATCTCTATGTGAACTTCGACAGCTATACGACACGAAACTTCGATGAAATCTCCCGATGGTTACACGCGATCGGGTATAATGCATACCTTTGACGGCTTAACAACTTAACGAAGGGATCCGTATTATGGATGCACCTACATTACCGGTCTAAACCATCAATTTAGCTGCTTATAAACGAAAATTTGCCCCGTTGTGAACATCGACGAAGCACGTCGTTCACGTCTTCGTTAATGTTAGACAGTTCAAACGAAATAATAAGAGATTCGAAGAAGAAAAAAATAAAAAAATACTCGATCGATCACGATGGAAAAAACTCGGCATTATTCAAGAGAATTACTATGTAACAGGTATTAACAGAGTAATCAATTAATAAATTACCACACACACACACACACACACACACACGTGAGAGTTATAAAAAGTGATCGCTTAATAATTCAATTCGTGATCGTACATTTTCCGACAATTTTCCGCAGACATTCTACGTGAAATATGGATGAAATATCTTTCTCCGGGAACCTGTCATCTTAACAACCCCGTTAAGAAATAAGTGTGCCGTTGAAAAACGCGTATTACAACGAATGAAATATCATCGAGATGATACAGACACACCATCTATCCAACGCTGAAAACGAACCGCGCAATTGAGACAGTATCTCTCCTCCGATCGTCAGAATCCAAGAAAAGCTAGCGTCTGAGCGGAATTTTATTTTCTGACAAATAAGTGCCCGAAGATAGATAAATTGTCTTTTTGATTAATGAACTTCATCGCCTCTGTATTACCAAACAGTGGAGAAGAAGGAGGGAGAGATATCTCGTAAATCAAACCTACGTATTCGATACCTACATATTCCTCTGTTAATGTATACCGAGACGAGCATCTTCTCTGAAACAACCCATCGACACACCCCGTTTTCCGTTTACCGACATACCTACCTACATATATGCACGTATACGTATAACACATGTACATATACAAATGAAATAGCCATCTATCTAAACAGGACGAGTAAAATTGATAACCAACACAACTCTCTCTCTCTCGAACAACCGAGCAAACTCAATTTATTAAATCGCGAGAGCTCCATAGGAAGAACAAGACGTGACTATTGAAGATGTAATCGTGGTCGAATTATATCGATTCTGACTGGTACTACCTAGCCAGCAGCCGAGCAGCAATTTGTAAAGCAATCAAGAAAGAAATCGTCCTTTTCTTCGTGATGGACAAAAGGGGTCGTGTCGGATGGGAATCGATATGGGGCAGGTAGGCGGTCGAAGGCATTTCAGCTTGGGGGTAGGAGAGGGTAGACGGAGGACTCGTCGGGGTGGTTGAGCTGGCAGGGGAGCCAGGTATCGATTCCAGGCTGCAAGAGGAGAAAGAACCCCTCCCGTTGCTCCGTGCCCTCTTCCCAGCCCACGCACTACGGGTCACCGGGTCAAAGCTCACGGCCGGCTCACTGTTGCTTCTGCCGTTTCTTGTCATTGTTTTGATCGTACAATATTCTCTGCGTTTCAAAGGTAATAACAAAAAAAAAAAAAAGAAAAAAAAAGGACCGGTAACATGATTTTCGTTGACGCGAAAAAATTCGGGGGGTGTGTTTCAAGGGGAATCCACGTTGTACGTTGATCTGGACGTATGGGTGAAAATTTGGACATATTAGGGGAGGAGTGTTGAAATTGACAATCTTGTAAATTTTCGCGTAT